GTTCCTTTGTCTGTCTGTCCCTCCATCTGTCCGTGTGAACGAGAACTTTGGTTAAAAATGTCCGATCGCTTTGACATCTCCATTAGTTATGAACTGAATACGCAATGCCAAAAGTTGAGTCGAATCGATACAAAATTCACAGTGCCCTTTTCGCATCTCGACCATTTATTAATCGAATTGCAAACTTTTTTACTTATTTATAAAAGTATTTGAATTAAATTTGATACATAGGCACTTGGAATAAATGAAAATCTAACGCCAGTTTCAAAATTTGGTTTTGCGCATGAGCAGTGCCAATTTTTTTTATTTATGGAAGAATTTAAACGAAATTTGATATATAGACACTTGGAATAAAGGAAAATTTAACGCCATTTTCAAAATTTTATTTTGCGCAGGAGCAGTGCTAACTTTTTTATCTATGGAAGCATTTAAATGAAATTTGATACATTGGCGCTTGGAACAGATGAAAATCTAACGTTAGTTTCAAAATTTAGATTTGCACATGCGCAGTTCCAACTTTCTTATTTAGAAAAGCATTGAAATGAAATACTTTTTATAAACTGAAATTGAAGTAGCACGTCAAAAATGGATTGCACATTTACAACGCCATCTTTCAAATTTGTGGCCGGATTTTTACAATTTTAACAGAAGTTGCATCTTACAAATGGGAAATGAATGCAAATGGAAATGCGCTTTTTGTAAATCGTTTACGATTACTTTTTCACTTGTTTCTTCTCTTCGGATTTCTTTCTTCTGTTCCTTCCGCTTCAAATGGTAAACCAAAACTAATAATTCCACGCCTAGTTTGTACGAACCATGTGTGAACGTGGAAGTGTGAATCGACATATTGCGTTCCAAGTTCAAAAACTTGGCCTTAATTCAAAGTTTGAGGAAATGATTGCACGTGGAAGGTCTGCTTTAGCTATACGTTTTAATTCTAAAACAGATAAGTTCAATTATGCCTACAGTTTTATGATCCAATTTGCTTTGGTAAAAAGTGTATCCATGTAACTAAATGTCAGGTAATGCAAATCCATTATATATATGTAAAATGTGAATATTGTATTCATTATCTGTAATAAAAGTAGACACGTGTGGATTGCATTGACTGCAAGTTCAAGTTCAATCGAATGCAATAAGCATCGTTATTGTTCTGTCGATAGATATTAATAAAAACAGTAATTTACACGACCTGACGAAAAAAGAACTAAAAGGTGTTCTACACTACTGACATTTTTTAATAATCAATAACCAGCAATCACATGTCGCTGACATTGATAAAACCTAATCATTTATTTACATTATAGTTACGTATTTCTCTTTTTTACTGCATTACTCTGTACACACATTTAATACATGATTCTTAAATACTTTCAATTACCGGTTTTGTCTCTACGTCTGTAATAATTATTGCGTATAGATGCAAAGAAATTTACATCAATTACCTCTTTTGCATATAAGCTGGAAATTCTATACATTTTATCATGAGAAGAAATAAATTGTCAACAGTAGAGAATGGATAGCCTTAACCTGATCTATTTTTATCTCTTACAGCGCTAGTGATAAAACTTAATCAGTTGCATATAATGTTGGTCATACACGTGTGTTCTTATCAAATTATTGCCTCTATAATTATGCGCTTGTTTAATTAAATATAAATGATAGCAGATTATACTTTTGCTATTTGTTCGCTTTGATAATCCAGTAATCTTTAATTGAACCTTATCTTGGAAAAATGTTGAAAGTTGCATTACGTTAAGAAAACGATGGTAAAAAATCGCCCACCCGCATCAGTAACTGACCGAGATTGTTGTAGCAGTTATGCCAAGATCCACTTACAAAAATAAAAAGGACCATATTCGCGGAGGTACGAATGATATCAGAAACGGGTTTAGGTACGTACAGTTAAAGAAATTAATGCCTTAATACACCTGCTCTGAATACCTCAGCAGAGTTATGTAACAGATTCAAAACCTGTGACGATAACTGCAACAGAAACGTATAAATTTGTGGCGGATAAAGGTTCAATGCTTTTTAAGAATAAATAAATCCATGATTTAAGACACAATGCAGACAGAGTGGTAGATTTACTTATTTATTTATTTCCGGGCTTTACAACAACAAACATAACCATTGCAATAAATGAACACAACATAATAACGAAAAAAGAGAACAATTAACGTACCTTGCATTTCCTTTTGGCGTACTATACACAGGAAAATAAATATGCTTATGTAAATAATAAAGACGTGTATAGGGAAAGAATACTAAAATGGGTGAGTACGCTTGGGTTTCAACAATTTGAATTTACATAATTTTCAAATTCTTTATCTCCCCCCCCCCCCCTTCACCCCTCATTACGCAATAGGCGAACTTTTTATTCGAGTTCTTGAAAATATATCAATAGTTCTATTGATAAAGTCCTTAAAACAGTTCCATCGGGAACCAGTGCAAAGTACCTCGCTATAAATGGATTAATTTATAAGAAGTATTTATTTATAACATAACACAAGCGAGAACTTAATACTTCACTTCGCATCGATGTTAGAACTGACTACAGCACAATGCGATTGGCTTATATATTGTAGCGATTCTTGAGGGATAGGAAACCGAACTGACCGGCTAGTCAAAGAAGAGTAGGTGTCCCAGTGAAACAATCTAGAGCGAATGCAAACCCGTATAGGGTGGGCGCCAGAGAGGCACAAAATCCTTCCAAAATTAAACTAAAATAAAATAAAAATGAAGGACCAGACGAGGTTGCAAAGCTCTACAACTAGGCCTGGGGGTTCTGGCTTCTTGTCTGAATAATCAACAACAGCTAACATATGTAATTATTTAATTTCAATATCAAAATATTAAAGTAACCAATTCCGTATCTAAGTAATATCAAGATTATAACACTAAGGTACAAAACAATAACCAGAACAGCTGCTTCTGTAATACCTTGTTTCGAGAGAACCAATATAGTAACGGAATTACCTTTTTCTATTTCGGTGTTACAATGAGAATTTGGTGCAACTGTTTTCGGCAAAAACAGTGTTTCAATGAGTTCCATTGTAACATTGTTTTTGGTAACTTTTCATCTCTAAGTTGGCAGTTCGTCAAGACGTCAACGTCAAATCAACAGATGTGAAATCAAATTACATAAAATTTATGCGTTTTCCTTGATTTTTGGTACACGAAGAATTTATCTACGAATAAAAATCACACATTCACGGAATTTAAAGTTTCCAAATGTCAGTGTTGTGTTTATCTACGCTGCCAACTTAAAATTTGTCAACGTAAATGGTGTTGCCAACTTAAGACATATTAATTCTAAAGTTTCCTATAGTTTTTCATAATTACTTTTTAATTAAATTAAAGCCCCGAAATAGAAAAAATAGTATGAAAAACACGTGTTACAATGCTTTATTGTAATACTCCTATCTTGTGGACACTCGTGGCTCCGTTTCGCTACGCCACTCGTGCCACAAGGTAGTCGTATTACAATAGGTCGCATTGTAACACTTGTCTTTCAATATACTATTGTCATCCAATCGATATATGCAATAAATCTTTATCAAGTGTTAAATACGGACAATATATCCACAAGCGAAATACCCGCTACAGTAATACAGGCAACGCTGCAACTAAGGCATAAAAGTATATAAAGAATATAAGCTTAAATTAATGTTGAATGGCCAACGCATATAAACTCATTACAACAAAGGCACATTTACATAAATAATGTTACCACATTTATGTTTTCTTAAACGGCAGATAGCGTGATGACTCTGGTTTTCCAATTCAATATAACATTATTCGTAAAGATGAACCTGCCATTCCCACTACCACGGCAAAAGTGATAATTTCCGCAAACTAAATCGTACCATGGAAAACACACTAAGAGCGCATTCAGTCAGTCAAAGAAAGCAGAGACATTCAACGGAACGTTACAATAGCAAACGCCTATATTTCCAGAAAGTTCTCGAACACTCCCGAATATTCTAGAACAAACACGTTATATTTACCGGAAATAATGCATCACATCTATCCAAAATTCTAGAATATTCGCTCCTGCTTTATTACGTATCGCCTGTCACAACAATGTAACAGGCTCTGATTTGTTTTAATTGTTTTTTTTAACTTGCATGTTTATACTCTCTGCTTAATTTAACAAAAAGGAGAATTTTAGCTTCCTAGTTTCTAGGTGGTTATTGAAATCCCCGTATTATGGACATGTTAAAATTTTGTCAAATGTCGACCTTTTAGATTATTTTAAGCACCTTTTAAAGAATAAAATTTTTGTCCCTTCTGTATGATGTATATATTGGCAACTTGTTTCTGCATTCTTTAACCAATATTACGTTTTCTATTTTTAAAATTGCACAGCCGGCTAGACTCCATGTACATGTAAAAATCAGCGTCCCAGACAAATACGATTTCTTTCAAAATAACCAAGACGTTTACTCTTCATGCTTCCTATTTAAGCAAAACCACCTTCTCTAATAAAATCAACATCGTTATTTCCTACGACACTCGAAATTCCATTCCATTCCAAGTTTTTGTACTGAAATAAGAAAACTTCCACAATTGTTTATTTAACACAAATCTCTATTAAAAAATTGTGGAATTGAGAGTTTGCTCAAAACTCTCTTAATAATAAAATATTTGGCAATATTTTTGATAAAATGTTGAATTACTGATTGTAATTCCCGATAGCTTCTGACCAGAGGGTTCTAGAAGTTCCTCTAATAAAATTAAGAGATGTCGAAACTCCCTTTTTGAATTGTTCACATTTGAAATGTTGACCCCACTGACCAATACGTTTCGTCGACATCCATCATTTTCCTTTTGTGTTCTTCCGGCACTGCGTTTTCGTGATATTACTACTCGCACCAGCGATACGTATTTTCCACTACCACTACACAAATTTTTAATTTTACATATTCTTTTCGTGCTTAACAACTTAACCCCCCCCCCCCCACACACTTGTACTCAGTATAAAAAGGATATTTTTTTTTTTTGTGTCAGGTGGGGAAATGCATTATGCACACTCCGGATGGAAAAGTCCGGAGTAGTGTGGGACTCTCACCCACTAAAACCCCACCTGAGGCTTCGGCTTCTAGGGCCATTCGCCTTTATACATACTTTTACACAGAAAAAGATGACTATATAAGTACAATGGGACAGAAACGGATCTAGTTACATTTATTAACATACAAAACCAACAATTTAAAAATATCATAGATCATTTGCTATACCAATTCTTTGGATGAAGGCAAGAGTATTTTTACATTGCTCTTTGTTTTTAAAGTTATTTTCCCATGCAGGGTCGATATTAAAGAGCACACGTACATCTGTGTACTGCGGACAGACAGAAATAATATGATGTGGTGTTAAAATAACACCACATTGTTCGCATAGTGGCCGTTCTTCGCCGCCAACAAATATCCATGAGTGAGGGCAGTATGCCCCAGCCGGAGTCTGTACAGCCTGATCAAGTTCAAACGCCCAACGTCGATATAAAATAGCGGATCCAGACTCTGTTTGATCTTCTTCAAAGCCGTATCAGTCTCCGACCACTGTTCACTCCACCGCTCATAAATTTTCGTCTTCACAAGTTCACGTCGTGCAATAGATGACATATTCGTAAAGTCAACGTTATCCAGTTGGAGATAGTTTAATACCTCTCTAGCTCTAACACCTAACGATCTACATCTATTTAGCCGAGCAATTGTAGTTGCATCAGTAAGTGATATAAAATTTGGATGTTTATCATCTATCCTTACTTTTATATAATAGTTTGCAACAATCTGTTTCCGGCGTAGAGCTAGAGGGGGAATATTTGCCTCGACGTGGAGCGATGTTACCGGACTTGTTGGATATGCTCCCAAAGAGTAGCGAATGGCCAGGTTCTGAATCTTGTCAAGTTTCTCAATCAAAGTATTACTGCCACATGTAGAGTACGCTGCACATCCATAATCCATCCTTGACAGGATGAGGGCCTTATAAATATCTAGGAGGGTCTTAGGGTGAGCTCCCCACCTATGATGAGCTAGAACTCTCATAATGTTCAGCGATTTTCTACATGTAGCCGCAACATTCTCCAAATGCTTTGACCATCGTAATCCCCTATCAAAGGTAAGTCCGAGGAACTTGACTTCTTGGACAACACTGATTATACGATTGTTCATAAACAAAACGGGGTCATAGTGGGGCTTACGGAGTCGACAAAAGTGAACAACCTTTGTCTTCTCCTCCGACAGCACGTACCCGACAGCATTGGCGTTATGACAAATGATGTTAATTGCCGTTTGTAGGTTTCGAGTTATTGTGCCAACCGTCTTACCAGAACAACAAACCATTAAATCGTCTACGTATAAGCATTTATCAATTGACTCCTCAACACCTTTGGCTATTTCATTTATGGCGATGCCGAACAGGGAACAACTGAGTGTTGACCCCTGCGGCACACCATTTTCTAAAACATACTCTTTGGAGTTGATATCGCCGATTCTTACACAGAACTTCCTATCCTCTAAAAAGGATTTTATAAATTTAGGTAAATTCCCTCGAAGATTGTATTTATACATATTTTGCAATATTCCATATCTCCAAGTCATGTCATAAGCACCTTTTATATCGAAGAAGACCGCAACCAGATGTTCACCACTGTCAAATGCCCTCAGAATTCTGTCTGTCAGTTTGACCAGATGGTCTACCGTTGACCGTCCTTTCCGAAAACCAGTTTGGTAAGGCACGTATACGTTATTGCTTTCGAGAAATGTTTGTAGCCGCACATTAACCATTTTTTCTAGCAGTTTTCCCAAGCAAGATGTCAAACTAATTGGGCGATAACTTTGTGCCTGCAACGGATCTTTTCCTGGTTTCGGTATAGGAATTACGATGGCTTGCTTCCATTCTGAGGGGTAGGTAGAATCATTCCAGCAGTTGTTGAAGAATCTTAAGATGGTATTTTTCATTTCAGAACTACAGTGGCGAAGCATCTGGTTATGGATAGCGTCTTCTCCCGGTGAACATGACTTGGTGTTACGGATTGCTGCCTCCAATTCTTCTACAGTAAAAGGTACGTTGCAGTTCTGTATATCATCTGTGTTAAAGTCAATTAATACTGCTTCTTTTTCAGGTTTGGTATCTAGAAAGGTGTTGGAATAGTTTGACGAGCTACTGACTTTATAGAACCTATCTGCAATTATGTTAGTTATGTCTTGCAGTTTATTGGTAATTATTCCATCGGAATTGCGCAAAAACACCGGATGACTGCAGCTGTTTTTTCCAGATATAGCTCCGACTTTCTTCCAGACATCATTACTGGTAGTCTCTGGTGTCATGGTTGTTATATAATGTTGCCATGAAATTCTTTGGGCTTCTAGTATTTTAGTTTTTTATTGCCATTCGCTAAGAGAGGGGCATTTGTTTACTTGTATCTGGTTGTCAGTAACTTAAACCCCCTACTTGTACTGACACCATATACAAGGAAACAAATGCCCCTCACTTAGCGAATTGCACTTAAAAAAAACTAAAGAAATAAGCACATTTTCCAACATTCCAAGTGCCAAAGAATATTCGGAAACTTTTTTGGTAGAATTAAAAAATTATTAAAAACGTCTTAAAACTTCCACGACTTTCCTTTAATCCTTTAAGCAACGGCTGAAGTTCTTAGAGATTACTGTTTAGAATTTTAAAATTCTGCCTAAAATATAGCTTAGCAGATAAAGGGCTAACATTTAATTAAATTGATTACCAATATGCTAATTCACCAATTTTATTTAATAAGGGAAAACTTTTACACTTAACTTACTTAATTATTTTCTAAAGGATAATTAAAACGGCACCGCGTTCTATTCGTTACGCTGGCTTAAGCATGATTGCACGCGTAAACTATTGTACATACATACCTATAACTTTTAATGAAGTTGTTAAAAAAGTGTGGACGTGGTATTTGCAAGAATAATAAAAGTATGCCCAAAAATATCTATGCGAGGAATGCAGTAAGATGTCGTGACTAATGAGGGTTAAGATCGTTATTTATTGAAACATTCCTTTTTTAGTTTGATGGTCGAATGCGCCCTTTACAGGAAAATGCTTCGCTTTTTTTAATTGAACCGTCAACATTTATATCGCGTTTAAATAAAAGGAAATTATTGTTCAATTGAGCAGTATTCAATCATTGGTAAAACGTCAGTTTAGTTTAATTGACAGATTGCAGAAACACGATTGGTCAACTTGTGAAACCTTTAACTTAACCCACAATTTAACTATAAACTGAAGTTTAATATAAACTGACATTGGCAATTTGGCCTCAGACATCCATAGCGCAACTAAATTCACTTAGAACGTGGTATACATTACAATATTTATATAACAATAATATTACAGTACTTCATTTAAAGATAGGTATTACGATAACTAGCTTAAAGTTCAATTGTACTTCGACACGTGTATCTGTATATATGCTACCTTATTCCATTACACTTGTTGGAAAAGGTCGATTAAGCCAAGAGTAATTTAAAGTTTGTAACGATGAACAGACTAATTCTTAACTATATGTCTACACGGTTACTAAATTTACGCTGTACTCAGAACTGGAAGAAGTATCGTTTTACATTAAAGCTGAAATGGTCTAATGAGAAAGCTGAGTGATAAAAAGAGAGTGAAAAATTCTTCAATCCCTATTGAGCAGGAGTGGTTATCAAAATTATGAGGGTCGTACTGATTAGAAATGCACCGTATGGAGAATTTGTTACTGCAATTATCTCTGAAAACTATTCAGAAGTCTAGTCGGCTGAAGACCGAAGCTCGTCGTTTCTTACTTATACAAGAGTTACAAGAACAAACACATTATCATGTTAAATTAATAAACGTAATCATCTGAAAACAACCTTATGGACCTACCTATGGACACCTATTAATATTTATTTGGTCGTGGGTTTCAACAATGTGACTGACTATGTTGTTTAAAAAAGAATCAATAGTTATTCACCAATTTCGCAATCCATGCAACCATGGGAGACATTGGAAATGATAACCGTATAACGCCATAAATAAAACACAAATAACTCTTTTTTAATCGGATCACTCGCTCGCAAGTTCGCTCGTGTCGCAAACGACTATCTCGAGAGATGTGCGAGAATTTTACATTGGAATTAACAAAACAATTGAGCACTATTAAGTAAGTACCGTGTCGACAGTATGCGCAATCACCGGTCATAATAAACATAATAAATTCCTGGTATAGTCTTGTTTAAAATATACAGCTCTGAATGCTAAACAAAATTTTAATCCAACCAAAGGAATGGTATCACTGAAATTAAGTGCGATTTTCCAGTCAATGAAACAAAAAACCAAAAATCATTTGTTTGGATTCGTTTCTTATCAATCAACGCAATACAAATTTTAACTTGGTGCAGCACTAATAAACTGAAGATAAACTCCGACAAAACAATAGTCATGAATATGACCAAATCTACACAGAATCACCCCTATGAGATTTTCATTGAGGATTCACTGATCTCTTGTAAACCACATAGCACGTATCTTGGTACTATAATTGATTCCAGTTTGTCGTGGCTTCCTCAAACTGAATACGTTATAAGTAAGCTTAACTCATCGTATTATCTGTTATCACGACTGAAACAACAATTCGATGAAAATTTGTTACTTAAAGTTTACTACGCGGTTGTGTATCCATATTTAAGCTATAACATTACATGTTGGGGAGCAAGTACACATACTCACAGAGTATTTATATTACAGAAACGTATAATACGATTGATGTACAATCTTAATTACGCTCAAACATGTCGGGACACTTTCAAAAATCATAAAATAATGCCACTGCCTTGTATATATATCTTTAAATTACTTATTTATCTTCATAAAAACCGACACAAATTTAACAAAATAAGTCAAATTCACGATCACAACACCAGAGGTAAAAATAAAATCTTGATTCCAAAACACCAACATTCATTTTATAAAAAATCTCCGTTTTACACCGGTTCAGTATTACTTAATAATCTGCCTGAAACTCTAAAAAAAATGAACCACTCCCTTTTCAAAAATAGAACAAATAATTACAAAATAATTCTTTCTATTCAGTAAATGAATTTGTTGATTATATATCTCTAGGTAATAAAAACCTAATGACTGGATGCACCTGAATTGTTAGTCCACATATTTTCTGTTGTCCATACATGTTTTGTTTGTGATTTGACGTTTCTGTAATTGTTATTTACAATTTTTAGAATTAAAGATTATTATTTTAGTTAGTTTTTTTTTTTTTTTTTTTAGTTTTTTTTAAGGCAACGACAACAAAGGTCTTACGCCCAATTTATTCGCTTCAATCGTTACTTCTTATTTAAAGCATTCTAAACAAATTGATACTTTTTAGGAAATCCATCACCCTCCTCAGACTCTCCTCACCCCCATCCAAGACTTCAGCAATGTTTCCACTCATACCTGCCACATTCCTCCGATCTGCGTATTTTGGACACTCTACTAAGATATGGTTCACAGTGACTCTATCTCGACATACATCGCATACCTCTCGTGTAATTTTTCCCAGCAGATGTTGATGTGTCATACGAGTATGACCAATACGTAACCTCGTGAAAACAATTTCTTCCCTTTTCGATAAATGGTAATTTATTTTGATTGCTTGTGTGCTGTTTTGAAATTTATACAGGTAAGTATTTGCATCTTGCCAAGCAGAGTTCCATTTCTCATACATTCTTTTTTTCAGGTGTTTTTTGAAATCACTTGGATGTATAGAGATTCCATCATAGACTGTGGAGTTCGTCGATTCTTTTGCTGCCGTATCTACAGCTACGTTACCGGCAATCCCAGCATGACCTGGGATCCAGATTAATGTCACCCTAATATTAATATTTAGTAGGTATTGTATACGATCTTTTATCATGCATATCAAAGGGTCTACAGAATTTGCTTTATTGACTAATGCATGCATGGCACTTAATGAGTCAGAGCATATGACTACCTGCTTGGTATTTTCATATTCACAAAATATCAGTGAGTGCCATATTGCGTACAGTTCTAAGACATAGACGCTGGTGATGTCTGAATGTCTCCAAGCATAACTTTTCTGGTTGACAAACATAGCACTAGCCGTTCCCCTTTCTGTTTTAGAACCATCCGTGTATATAATTGTAGCATCCGGATATTTTCCTATAGTTTCCCTAAAATGCATTCTGTATACAATATTTGATGTTTCGTTTTTGCTGAACGCCGATATATTATTATTATTATTATTATAAATCTGTTCACGGGTCGATTCCTTTAGGCATATTAAAATTACTGCAAAGAAATTAAATATGCGAATTCCTAAAAACAATCGACCACTACTTTATACGAAGTAAAAAATGTAAAATAACTACTGTAATGACGTGGGCAATAGTCCCTGCTGGAAACTAATTGATATTATCTCTCCTTGGAAAATCGCGCTTCCTTTAGAAATATGGAAACGGATCTCTTAGATGATACAGTAACTTTTTTCACCACCCTGGTAACATTTGTAGCGATTTGATAGATATGTGATTGATGATATGTGTAGATTTAGTACTTCCGCTTTTATATTAATGTATTGTTAAAACAAATAAGATACTAATTTTAAATGATCCACCTATAAAAACCAACATGGGCCTTTTCAAGTGGTTTATCCATGTGGTCCAATAGATATCCGAAACAGAAATGCGACTTGAAAGGTTTAGTAGAAGAATTGTAGGCGAATGAAGAGTCGACTCCCTCTTTCTGTGAAGTATATGATATACCTTCTACATTTTTCGGAAAGGCTTATTGTTTCCGATATAAGCAAATTGAATTGTGTAGACTGAGGTTTTCACATCGATGCGGAAGTGATAAATACTGAAATCCGCGCTCGTGTTATAAATTTACGTGTTGTAAATGTGAGTGAAAGCAAGTGATAAATAATAATGAACTGTTATAAATTCATCAATAATTAATTTTATAAGTAGAAATAAATCCCGTAATTAACTTTACATTACAGTAAATAATATATAAAATAGATCGACGCACAAAGTGCGGAAAACAAATCATTGTATTTAAGATAAAACAAAATGCGGTCGTTTAATGTTACTGTCAGCGATCGGTTTCGATATCTGGTAGTCAGAAACATTAAACGACCACAGTGTGATTATTTCAACT